AGTACTCCCAATCTTAATGACAAAGGCAGACGCATTCTACTTCACCCAGTGTGGAGATATGAATGAAAGAAGAAGAATACTAGCTAAAAATAATTTATTTGATTTCTATCGAATATTAGCCAAAATCAGTTTGTTTATAATAAAAAAAAATCTATTTTTCAGAATACTTTCTTATTTAATTGCTCTTATCAAAATTTACATTATTATTTTTATAATTAAATATGTGATCAATAGTTACCCAGAAATTATTTGAAAAAAGAAAAATCAGGTAAAATGTTCATTTTGATTTTGAATTTGGAAGAATTCGTGCAAATATACTGTTCTTCAACGGGCTAATACTCTATTTATTTGAAAAAGGAAAAATAAATCATATAAAATGTTTCTTTCAAATTTGGATTTGCCAACTTTGGTGTAAAAATACTGCTTTAATACTCTATTAGCCCGTTGAAGAGCAGTATATTTGCTCGAAAACCTGCAAATCCAAAATTAAAAGAAACCTTTTACCTAATTTTATTTTTCCTTTTTCAAAAAATTAAATATATGTTTTTCATAGCTCGTATAATGAGGAATATACAATATTAATATAAATTCGAAATAAAACTAATTGTTTAAAAGATATTTTAATAGAAAAATGGAATTTTCCTGTGTATTAAACCTTATTATAATATAAAGTTTTCTAAGGTATTATATGCTTTAATTTAATTAAATTCTTGTTTGTTTTTTTTTTCTTATAGAAAATGGAAAAATCGATGGTAAGTTTAAATCATACTTATTAATATAAATATATTTTACTATGTATCAAATAGGTATTGTTTTTACATACATATAAAAACTGAACTCACCCAAATAAATCAGCATACACAAAGTTAAATACATAAAATATTTATTATATATATTATATTGATATAAATAATGATGACATTCTGAATATAAAAATTACATTAATTTTTCTGGATGATAGGATTTGTGTATGTTAAAATATTTTAATATAAAAGAAACTTAGCGTTGGCACCTTATACCTTTTTTTTTTTGCCAATTCAGGAAAAATTAGAAATCAACAAGAATAGTTGATATTAATTCCGATAGATGGCGCAAGCCACCAGCAACTTTCATTTCCACGATAAGCCCATGCCTTTTTAAAAAAAAAGTATTCAAAGGTTTCAAAAAATTATAGCTGAATATAATCTAATATGAATGTTAATTTTCACTTTCATTTATATTTTAATATATATAAAAAGTGGTATATTTATATTATTAATTCAAATAATTTTATTATCACCATTAAATCCTGTTTCGTGTTAAATATTTAATAAGGAAATATCATTATCAATTTTGAGTTTTATTCCCATATGTTATATAGGAAGCTTTTTCTTTTCATATTCTTAAATTATAGATTTGTATTAATATGTGTGTGTGTGTGTGTGTTGTTACCCCATTTATATTATTTCACTATTATATATTACTATTGATAATAAATGGCAGATGAATTGGCAAAGGAAGCCAGAAAGTTGGCCAAAGGAAAGAACAAATGTCACAATTTGACGCTGATGATTTGGCAAAATACAAGATAATCAAACAAAAAATAAGAAAAGATCAAATATATGGAATAAACTCTGAGAGAAAACTGACAAAAACTATAACAAGACTTAGAATAAAACACTATAAAGGAATGACAATACATCCAGATGTCACAAGAACCTATAGGACATACATCAACTGTCCTGGTGTGGAACTAACACCTATTCACATATTCTCATGTCCAGCAATGGCCGCAGCCTTGCAGTAAATTGACTTAGATCCAGAGCAGCAGCTTTACACACCCAAGATAGTGTACATTGCTGCTGCTGTGATAGAGATGCATGGAGACATCTGAGGCTCTTCTTTGGACACGACAACAAATGAATAATGAATATTTTGATATGGCAAATATGTTTCCCTTTTCTAGTAAATAGATTTCAAAATCGCACTTAAATATCTAATATTACATATATAAATTGTGTCTTATATGTTTAATATAAATATATATTTTTCAAATCTGATTATAAAATCTTTGTTTAGAAACAGACGTTGCGGATCATCCTGATAGTATGATTATTATTAATAGTTATAAAATATTGTATATTATTATATATATTATCCCTGATACCATAATATATATATATATATATATATACTAGCCGAATGGCCCGGGCAACGCCCGGGTTTTACCCGACTGGACCCGGCTTCGCCTGGATAGTGTTCGAGCGAGGTTTACTCATGAATGGAGGCCCCAACTGTTTGTAATATAATTAATTTGTAATATAATTATTTGAATCTAACCTCATATATACACTTTTACACTACCTATTTAATTTCAAAATAAATTAAAATACGTTTATATTAAATAATAACATTTTTAAAAAATCGACTTTCTCGTTCACACTTTTGTATCTATTCAATTATGTATTTTTTTTATGTATCTCTATAAAAAAATATCTGTATAGTTTAGATTAAAATATTTCAAGTGGCATATTTTCAAGTCGTATATTTATACACAAGTTTTATATTTATTTTACAAATATTGTATAAGATGTGATTAATAAACTTTGTAAAAAATAATCTTAATACATTTTTAATAACATGACGTTATATTATATTCTAATAGGTAAAATAGGTTAGTTTCAGACGGCTTATAAATTAGGTTAGTTTAAGGTGTGTTATAAAAAGGTTAGTTTCATTAATTAAAATCGGTGAGATTCAGATAGGTTATATTAGGTTAGTTTAATCGCTAAATAAGGTTAGTTTTAGATAAGTTGAATTAGGTTAGTTCTAGATAATAAAAAAATAATGTTCGTATTTAGAAAAATTAGTTTAATATTTTATATAATTTTTTTTTTTATTGTTAAATCTTTTTTAAAATTATATTTTAAATTAATATATTTAAATTGGTAAAATTCAAAGTATTTCACCGAAATTGTATTTTTAACTCGTGTAAAACGCCTTGAAGGTACGGCGGTGGCAACGTACAGCGCCGCCTACCAAATATACCCTTAACTGGGAACACTCCACAAATATATATAGTAAAATATATGCAGCAAGCTATACAGCAAAAACATAAATTTTTCAATAAATATGAAAAAGAAAAAAATATAGAATATGAGCAGCTATATAAAATGAAGCAGATAAATATAAATCCTACCTATACAAATGACAGCAAAACAAAAAATTGAGCCTACCCCTAAAAAAAGCAGTTATTAAAAATGCATAGAAGCTGCTTATAATATAAATGTTAATAAGTATAAAACGATTGCATGGAACAAACATATATAGTAAAATATATGTAGCAAGCTATACAGAAAAACATAATTTTTTGCAATAAATATGAAAAAGAAAAAAATATAGAAAACACTGCTCTAAATCGTAAATGATTACATGAATATATAATATAATATGAATATTCCCCTTATGAGAATAAAACAGTATACCTTATTTAAAAAAATGTAGTATCAATTAATTTAGAAATAAATAAATAAATAATAAATAATAGAAATAATTAAATAAATATATATAATCTTACTATTTTCAAAACGATTTTAACCAGTTTTGGTACCGACGCGCTTCGCCTAGCCAGAACAATGGAAAGGCTTAGACTTTCTATCAACAGTTGGAAATTACACTTACATTTTAATCACCAGTGTCTCGCCGCAAACATAATTCCACCTTCTTTAATTTTAAAAGATCCTGTCCGCACAAATTATTTTAGAAAAATATTATTTGAAACGGGTAAGAAACTTTTAAATGCTAGAAAATTAAGGAATATAATCTTACCTTTTGAAAAATGCAGCGTGAAACTAACAAAAAAGTTTAACCAATCAAATTCATGTATCGTCGCGACCAGTGCGGCGCCAAGCGGCAAAAGGCGGGAACTAATCCATTTCAATTAAATAATTTTTAAAAAAGTACATTAACCTTTGTAGTTTTTTGAATAGCCTATATGTTAAACGAAATCTTCAGCTACCTACATGCGAAATTCCATAATGATTGAGTCAGTAGATTTTGCGTGATGCGATAACAAACATCGATTTCGCATTTCATTTTTATAGATATAAGGATTGTTCTGAAAATATAGCAATCCATACTTGAAACATTAGATAGTAAAAAAGGCATATATTGGAGATTGAATAAAATATTTATTTGCTAATAATGTATACAAACAAAAGTGTATACAAAAATGTAATGTCTCGATAAAGTTTTGCGTTCAGCCAGCCGAAATATTTGCAAATAAATATTTTATTCTATCCAATATATGCCTTTTTACTATCTAATATATAATATATATTCAAACTATGAAATTTATGTATAAATCATGATATATATAGAGTTTATAAAAAGTTATAAAACAAATTAACAATAAGTATATTTTATTGTGAAAATCAAACAATCTAACATAGACAGTCTCTCCTGGAAACTAGATATATTTTCTTTTATATCTTTGATAAGCCATTAAAGAGTGCCTTTGGTCTAAAACTCGCTTTCTCACAATAAAAATGATATCCACATTGATATGTTATTACGCGTTTCTATAAAATCACCAGAATTTCTCCTTTTTATCCTTTCTCCTTGTTTAATACAATACATGCCTTTTTTACTATCTAATATATATATATTTATAAAAAAGTTGTGGTGGAGGATTTTATTCGTGAACCTAGAGAGGAATCTTTCTATTTATTAATACACCATAACAATGCATTATGATCATTACGTAGTAAGAGACCTCATTAGCATTGATAAAAAATGAGCCACAAACCAGTTTTAGCAAATTAAGATAAAGTAATTTATAATACAATATAATGCTGTTTATGATTGTAGAACGAAGTGTTTGACAAGTTTTACCGCAAATGTTTCTTTTGAACGAAAATTTGAAATTTATTTAAAGGAGAAATAACGATTATTTATAACCTTAGAGATGAAGTATGAAAGGATGAATTGTGAAGAGTAATGATAAACGGAAAAATATAAGTGTCCAGGGATTTAAATCGAACCACAGTGCTCCGCTTACCGGGCAGATGCCATGTCCACTAAGCTACCCTGGACATATTTTGCCGTTCGTAAAAAAATATAATTACTCTTCACAATTCATCCTTTCATACTTCATCCCCCACCGGACAGATGTCGAGGGTAGCCTAGTGGACATGGCATCTGCCCGGTGCGCGAAACACTGTGGGTTCGATTCCCATACCCGGACACTTTATTTTCCCGTTTTCATTACTCTTCACAATTCATCCTATCATACTTCATCCCTAAGGTTAGAAATAATCGTTATTTATTCCCTTAAAATAAATTTCAATTTTTCGTTCAAAATAAACATTTGCGGTATAGTGTCAAACACTTCGTTCTACAAATTTAGACAAACCACCCTTGTATTGATGAGGGCCATGACCTAAAGCCATTGTATACAGTTTGGCCTTTGTCTGAAAACGCTCAAACGGGTTTTGTGTCACATTAGTCATGATCAAATAACACTCAATAATATCACTATAAAATAAACTTATTTAAATATTTGAGTCAAAAGGCAATCCATCAATTAAGTTTATATAAAAGGAGGTACCTGGATCTGTAAAAAAAAAATATATTCTCAAAATATTTTGAGAGATTGCTTCATCTTTATCAATTTATTGCACAGCAAATTGTGTTGTGTTTTAAATTGCACTTTACTGTGCAATAAATTGATAAAGATGGAGCAATCTCTCAAAATATTTTGAGATTTTTTTTTCTTTACAGATCCAGGTACGCCCTTTTATATAAACCTATTTAAATATATTCCAAAAATATGAGATAAAATAAATAATACATTAAATATTATATGTTCTACAATATCATTTAAATGAATCATTTATTTTATTTTTATAATAAATTTCGAAATATTAATAATTTATTTTAAAATTACAATTATTTATTGTATTCATTTCATACACTGAGTACATAATGTAATATAATATTTCAAGTTTTTAAAAAATATTTTTTCTCTAAAACATGTATTCATAAAATCCCTAAAAGAATTTTGATTAAGTATAAAATTGTAAATTATAATTGTTATTTTCGAAGTTTAGTGAATTTATCATTTCTAAATATTTACAATAAACCTTAACTCTATTTAAGTTGTTTTCTATTATTTTCATTATATGTTCAATGTATTATGTTAATAGATAATGGAAATTTTTCTGGATATTAATATGTCATATTTAATTGTTTAATATATATATATTTAGAATTATTAACGCTTATTTTCGATCAAACTCTTTATTAAAAACTTACAATTTTTCGATGAGGCTGTTCGCCTATCTTTCTCGGGGATTCTAACCCTGTAAACATCCACGTGATGCACGAGTGGCGAGGTTTATATATATATAAACCCATTTCAATTTTATCTTTAATATAGCTATTTAATTTCTATATAAAATTAAAAACAAATAACTTATCATGTTTTTAAAAGTACTCTCTCTCTCTCTCTCTCTCTCTCTCTCTCTAGTACCTTATTCAATACTTATTATATTCAATGTAAATAATTCTAGAAATCTTAATTTTTTTTTAAATTTTTATTTCTTCAAATATATATTTTTTAAATTATTTTCATACTAATTTAAGTTATGAAGGTAAAATGAATGGTAAAATTGATATGGGAATATGTTTGAAATTTGAAATATATGAATCTCTACATGAAATGTATTTTAAAAAAAAATAATAATAATAAGATATATTGAAGTTTTATAATTTAAAATTAGATATATTTATGTTTTATTCAATGAATCATTTTCAAGTCTTTAAAAAATTCATTTCTCAAACGATAAATGCAATTAACTAAAAATAAATAACAATTTACATATTAATTCTATAAAATAATCCCTTGCATCAACTTTGAGCAAATCTAATCATACCTCCAGGGAAAAATGTATTCTCAAAACATTTTTATTGTTCTCTAGCTTTCGGGTACGGGCGTCCTTCTACAGGAGAAAACCAATTGTAGAAGGACGTCTGTGCCTGAAAGCTAGAGAACAATAAAAATGTTTTGAGAATACATTTTTCCTTGGAGGAATGATTAGATTTGCTCAAAATTTACATATTAAATTTAGTAAAATTCAAATATTCTTTAATAATTTCTCTATAAAATATTTATTATAGAATTTTATTATCGTGCGTTGATATTTTTTTTTCTTTTCAGGCCGACCAAAGAAAACTATTGGTAAAAATCTTTATGATTATTAAATTAATTGAATAGTTAAAATAAATAAATAAATATCTGTATGAACATATTTTGTATTTTATCTGCTTTATCCTATTAATATAAACATGTTTTATATATTTTTATACCTTATTATTTATAGATTAATTAGGTCAGAAATTATAATCTCTTGCATTTTACTATTTTGCAAGAGACACCATGGAACAAATACGTTTCATACCCTTGATGTTTTATTGGCAAATAACATCATACTTTACAAATTCATCAATTGATTCAGTGTACATAAATTCTTTCTTTTAATACTGATTACCTATATTTTATTTGTTTTTGCGTGTCTAATAAATATTGATATTATTATTAATATATTTTAAAGTAGATTTTAACATGTGTTATACTTAATACCTAATGCCGTTTGTATGTGGTTTCAGAGACAACAGAAACTGAGCAAGGTAAATTTTCAATATTTAAAAAATATATTGTATGGTTAAATTCTAAAATAGTTTTTTTTTGTTTTATTTTTATTTATTAGTGTTCATATATTTATAATAATACACATGCTAAATTAACATATTCATTTAGTTAACACATTTGAAACAATTTCGTACTTTCCAATTGTTTAATTCAATATATTTATGGAAGTATTATAGAGATCACTATTGTGTGATATATATACTATATTTATTAATCAGAATATAATAAAAACTATAAACAACATTTTGAAGAAACTGATAACCAATAAACTGAGTTACAATTGATTACAATTTGAACAAAAATAAATAATTTATATATATTTAAAGTGTTTATGCGTTTATATTCACAATTGAAAATATGCTTTTAATATATAGAATATTGTAGCGGAACGAGAATACCAAGATAAGTCCGCCAACTTCTTATAACAACTAAGTGTCCTGCTCAAGTGCTGGAATAATCAGATATAAGTTTCGTAAAATAAATTTATTAGGCTCAACTACTTGATCGCCTTAATATATTAAAGAAGTAAATTAGAACAATTAATAACAAAGTTGAAGGAACCAATCAAGGACAGCGGCACTCCCAGCTGTCGTCTCCAAACACGCAGCTCCGTCTTCTGGTGGACACACACACACCTGATGCTGTCCTAGTTTTTTATATCTGTGGAAGATTTACATAGATCTTTTTCGCAAAGCCTAGTTTGCATAGTATTCTTTTAATTTTACTCTTGTAAAATTTGCCTAGGCTTTTCCAACATACTCCCCACAAAAATTATTGACAATAATTTTTCCAAATCAGCATCCAAAAATATCCTGGAATCGATTTGAAAATTCTTTCGAAAAATCCAACTCCATTGGGCAAAGACGTTGTACAGGTCTTATTATAATCCCGTCTCCTGTCTATAATTTGGCAACTCGAACAATGCCATCCTTTCCTGGATACAGTTCTATAATTCTTCCCAATGGCCATTCAGTTCGTTTTCGCAAATCTGACCCAATGACAACAATGTCTCCAATTCGTAAGTTGTGACTATTCTTCCCCTTGTTCTTATTTATCAGATGAGACAAATATTCGGATCGAAAGCGATTTTTCAGTTCTTGTTCTAAGCTTTTTCTCCAGGCATAACTAAACTGTAGTCGGTCTTTTTCAGTTAAATCTCCTTCCGGGAATTTGATATTGCCCTTGTGACGTAAAAACATAGCAGGTGTCAAAGGTTGAGGGTCCTCCATTTCCTCTGAGATATATGTAAGAGGTCTTCCATTCATAATAGACTGAACTTTCTCAAGCATCTTTGCTAGTTGCTCCTTTCTGAGAGTAGCCTTTCCCAAGGTTCTTTTCAGCAAATTCTTCATAGAGCTAATTAAACGCTCCCACCAACCTCCCCACCAAGCCGCAAAGGGAGGATTAAATCTCCATTTTATAGGTCTAACGCAGTCGCTCTCTTGAAGCGTCTTCCAATCAATCTGTTGAAACAAGTTATCAGTTCCAACAAAATTTCTTCCATTATCACTAAAAATCATTGTTGGACGTCCATATATTCTAATGAAACGCTCCAATGATTGAATAAAAGTTTTGGTGCTGAGAGAATTCACCAAATCCAAATGTACCGCTCGGTAAACACTGCAGGTATAAATGACTATCCAGACTTTGGCTTGACCCTTTAGATACAATGGGCCTGTAAGATCGACTCCAATAATTTCAAAAACATTAGTAGTCATAATTCTTTCTTTAGGTAGAGGTACCTCTTCCGTTATAACAGACTTCGCTGTAAGCCTTCGACAAGTCACACATTGCCGTACTACCCTCTTTACTGCAATTCTACTCTGTAAAATCCAGTATTTTTCTCTGAGTTCATTCATCAAAAATAAAACTCCAGCATGACAAAATTTCAAATGATATTCTTCAATAAGCTTTTTCACAAGAAGATGTTTTCTCGGAAGTAGAATAGGCGACTTGTAATCTTCCATATCTTCTCGAAAGGTAAGTCTAGTTTTGACTCGCAAAATTCCATCTTCGGAACGTTTAATCTGATATCCCCTCAAGCTATCTAGATCTGAAAAAGTCTCAACTTGAACGCCACGAATCAATTGTAATTCCGCCATCTTTACTTCTTCTGGAAGAAGTCTACCAAAGTGTTTTTCATTATTCCTCAGATTATAAATAAAACGTAAGATCCAACCCATAATTCGCACATATTGAGAGTACGTATAATCATATCTAACCTCTTGGATCACGTTGAAATTTATTAACACTGAATCTTGAATCATCTCTACGCTTGACTTTTTTCTTTCTTTATCGACTTGAATCTCGTCTATCATTTCTGTGGAAATCGGCCACTTGTTTTCCCTTTCAAAAAGCCAATTCGGTCCCTCCCACCATTTA